GGGATAACCTCCTATTCTTTGGTCTAGAGGATTCCGGGGGTAATGAAAAGTGGGATGTGTCATAAGAAAATGTGAGGGACTGTCAAACACAGGAACTATGTACAGCTGGACGAAGCACATGTAGAAAATATATCGATAGAAAGAGCCCATCGTCTCCAAACGAAACGAGTGAGTGAGTGGATTTGGTTTTACGCCGCTTTTAGCAATATTCCAGCAATATCACGGCGGAGGGCACCAGAAATGGGCTTAACACATTGTACCCATGTGGGAATCGAACACGGGTCTTTGGCGTGACGAGCGAACGCCTTAACCACTAGGCTACCCCACCGCCCCTCCAAACGAAACGAAGCCCTAGACACATTTTCGTCTTTTAAAGACATAGAGGTGGGTGGTGAGACAGGCGGCTAGGGTAGCGACGTCCGAGTGACCCCTGATTACACCCAGCCGGCTAGGGTAGCGACGTCCGAGTGACCCCTGATTACACCCAGGCGGCTAGGGTAGGGACGTCCGACGACCCCTGAGTGACCCCTGATTACACACCCCTGGCCGCTAGGGTAGCGACGTCCGAGTGACCCCTGATTACACCCAGGCGGCTAGGGTAGTGACGTCCGAGTGACCCCTGATTACACCCAGGCGGCTAGGGTAGCGACGTCCGAGTGACCCCTGATTACACCCAGGCGGCTAGGGTAGCGACGTCCGAGTGACCCCTGATTACACCCAGGCGGATAGAGGTGTGGGGCGACAGCTAGGTAGGTTTATCAAAACATTTAGGAAGAAAGATGATGACTGCTATCTTTCCTATGACAAGCTCATTGTGAACAATGTCATATACACGTATGACTGGGATAAGGATAAACTGATGGAAGTGGGGAAACGACGCTACCTAGCGGCGAGCAGATCACCATCCCCGTCTCCGCCAACCAACCAGTCACGTGACCGCTCAAACAGACGATAGGAGTCCACAGACGACGCCCGGAGCTAGGGCAACGGCGGAGGCCAACGACTGGAGCATCATAACTCGAAGTTAAGTAGCACACAAACCCATACCATAAGTCGAACCAGTTGTAGAGTATCCCTGGTCGAACTGATGATCAAACTAATGATGGCAATCTTAACGATACCAACAATGATGATACTAACCAGGTACGTTTCTGTATACAGAAAGGTACCCTAGGACGATTCCATTTCCATTGTGTCGCATTCTTGATCGGAGTTGTCATGCTGTTGTATTAGATACATTTGATTGCGTTATGTAAGTAATGAGAATACACAGTAACTGATATTTCGCGATGCATATGAATACCAATCGCAATCAGTTGAACGGGAACAACTACATGCGGTTTTGGTTTTGGATTGCGGAATATGGACTCGTCCGCCTTTTAGGGTACGTTTCTGTATTTTGACTTTGTTTAGGGTACATATCTGTATACAGAAACGTACCTGTTGACCCCCTGGCCATATATACCCAAAAATCTGTCTGACTGCAATGTGGATTGGTTGATTATTTCTACGTGGATCTGATTTGATAATAACCTTTATTACATCAAGATTTAGACATATATACTATCCGAAAAAAGAAACGCATAGGCCAGAAATCTGTTGCGAAAATGTGTGTATTTTCAAACATGTATAACTCGTCTACAAATAGACTTTAGTGCATGACCTTTTACATCAGTTTAGAAGTAGGTAATGTTTATACAACCAAGTGATACTTTTAGATAACGGAGACCTTGTTCCGTACAGTTTGACCGGATATCCTCCGAAGTTCAGGCACCCTGGCTGCTGTGCTCTCACCCGTGTCAGTACGATTACGCAAATGTAGTACCCGGATGTACCGATCTTGGGCTGCAGTGGTGACTCGAGGTCATTTGTTATACCTGTTTGGTTGTAACGAGCTGCAAGCCGTGATATCGTGCCCAGACTACCATTCAGACGCCTGGCAACAGAAGATTGGTAATCTCCAGCGTGCATTCTTTCAATGGCGATGTTCCGTGTCGCAGAGTCAAGACGTGGTGTAGTGATTTGACCTTCAAACCCCGTCAAAACGAATGCCAATTTCCAAGTAATCTGGATTTTTATAGCCAGACAGTTCATACTCTTTGCTGCACAATTTCAACTAGAAGGTGATTTCTGTTGCGTTGTAGCGATGCCTTTTTAATCCTTGTAAATAATCTCATCAAAATCAAAATTTTCAGGTAAACCGATTTTGTCAAATCATGTTATCAACACTTTTGTTACGTATTTTGACGATTGTTTGAACACAATAGGAAATTAATAGATTTAAAAAAATACAAATTGCCTATGCGTTTCTTTTTTGAGATAGTATATTTTTTGGCAATATCTGAAACAGCACTGACCCGCGAAGATCCGGGGTAGAATAGGTCTTCAGCAACCCATGCTTGCTTCAAAAGGCGACTATGCTTGTCGTGGTCAGACTCGCTGACTTGGTTGACACATGTCATCGGTTCCCAATTGCGCAGATCGATGCTCATGCTGTTGATCACTGGATTGTGTGGTCCAGACTCGATTATTTACTGACCATCGCCATATAGCTGGAATATTGCTAAGTGCGGCGTAAAACTAAGCTCACTCACTCAATAAAACAGCACTTATTTAAACGAAAACTTGTCAAGGGACAAAATACTTACTTGAAGAAAATATGACAATTATTGTCAAACAACAAGCACGACGCGCTTATATTAATACTGCTACAATCTTCGAAGAGTCTTTTATAGTATATTCAAATATATGTATATAAGCGTAGATAGTGTTTTATCATATGCTTTGATTCGCTTGAGACCCGTGAAGATCCAGGTTAGAATTGATCCTGTAACCCGTGCTTGTAAAAGGCGACTAACGGGATCGGGTGGTCAGGCTCGCTGACTTGGTTGACACATGTCATCGTATCCCAGTTGCGTAAATCGATGCTCATGCTGTTAATCACTGCATTGTCTGGTTCAGACTAAATTATTTACAAACCGCCGCCATATAGCTCGAATATTGCTCAGTGCAGCGTATAACTAAACACACTCACTCATTCGATTCGCTTGAGGAAAATATAAAATGTAATTTACATTTAACTGAAAAAGACAGCATGAAGACGAAAGTGTTAAACCTCGTCGGCGGACCTTGTTATTTCCGGAAACCCGACTTTAAGATAGTAGTTGCTGGAATGATGTACCCATGATTTGCAGATGCAGAAATCTGTTAATCCTACAATTATTTCTGGGAACGTTTGTAGGTATAAAAAAGCGAGCGTGTAAGGTTTTACGCAGCTTTAGGAAATGTTCAAACAATATCAAGTGACAACAAAAAAAGGCTTGGCACTTTGTACAAATGTGGGGAATAGAACCCATGACAAGCTACTGCGTTACCCCCTAGGCCACCAACAAAAATATATTACAAGTGATTTTTTGGCATTTGATTGGCTACTGTAACCAAAGAATATTTCTTTACACAAACCAAAATAGAAAAAGACACGCCCCCTAACAATCTGCTGTTTCTGATTGGCAGTTGGTAAAATAGCGGGGGCTCTTGCTGTACAATGCCACTGATTCGTATTTTTCAATGACTAAATATGAAATCCTTGAGGTGAAGTGAGGCGACGTGTGGCGAAACAGGGTTTAACGTCGTACTTGAGAATATTTCGCTCATGTGATGACGAGCATGTGTGTATGTGTGGCTGCTTGTACTAGCCCAGACTGAAGCTGTTTTTATAGTGCTAGCTCACTGAGATACCATGCCGCAGTGAAGCATGAATTCCCCACTCAGACACATTATACTGCCTCCGAGCCTACCAGTCCTTGTTGTACCCATTAATGCCGAGCGCCAGGCAGGGACCATCAAGTACCTTATTTTCAAGGTCTTTTAGTATGACGCGGTCGGGGATCGAACCCGCGACCTTCCGCTCTCTGGGTGGACACTTTAACCACTACAACACGGAGGCGGTCTTAAGTCCTTAAAGTTTACCATAAGAATTATCTTCAATATTCTTTGCACGTATTCAGTTATTAACGTAAAACGTCGAATGCATACAAATCATTTACTTCAAATAATGACTCAATTGGCCGGGAGGGTTTTCACAAGGGTTTAAGGTTTTGTATCCAACAGTAAATATGTTTATAACGAACACGCTTATGTCGAACTGACCGATATTACAAAATCGTTGCTGGTACCGGGGACATGTTGTATTTTGTAGTGGAAATGCGTATAGCGGACCACGGTTATAACGAACTAACGGTACGGGTCTCTCTCAAATCTAAAATAGACAAAATTGTTTACACTGCAAGTCAAATCGCTGGAGTCAGATTTCAATGTTTATCATCAATATATGAGCGGCAAATAGTGAATCAAGCTGTCACAATTATATCTGACCCAACTCACTACTTAAATTCGGAATACAACGTCTTCCCTTCAGGACGCCGCTAGAAAGTTCCAATTGTGAAAACTAAGAGAGCCCGTACATCCTTTATTCCAAGTACCATATCTCTCTTTAACAAATGTGAAGATACCTAAATCAATGAATTTATGTAAATGTGTTTTGTATCTCTCTGATGTGTCAGTAGCTCTGCTGATGTAACACAAATTCCTGAAAAGGCATTAAAGTATTATTCTATTCTTATTCTATTCTAACATTACTGGTTCTTTGGAGCTCGTAACCGCCTCCGTGGTGTAGTGGTTAGAGCGTCCGCCCGGAGAGCGGAAGGTCGCGGGTTCGATCCCCGACCGCGTCATACCAAAAGACGTTAAAATATGGTACTTGTTGGTCCCTGCCTGGCGCTCGGCATTAATGGGTACAACAAGGACTGGTAGGCTCGGAGTCAGTATAATGTGTCTGAGTGGGGTATTCATGCTTCACTGCGGCATGGCATCTCAGTGGGCTAGCACTATAAAACCAGCTTCAGTCTGGGCTAGTACAAGCAGCCGCACTTACACATACACACGCATGCACGTCGTCATATGAGTGAAATATTCTCAAGCACGACGTTAAACCCAATTCTCCTTCAGTACCAGGTCACATGAGAGACCACATTAGATTGCGCATGCGCAAACGGGTCAGTGCAATTGTGTCAACGGGTGGCAGTCGCAGACTTTTTCGGACCAGTGAACTTTTTGGATTTATTTGTGTTTTCCCTCGGATTTCGTGTTCCTGGACTATACTAACTTTGTGCCAAGGGTTTCGGACATTCACAAAGTGACTGACGTTCCATGTAAGTTTTTGATACCCAACTTTTTTGGATTTTCCCTTTTGGGCCCTGATGGCTTCGCCTGCGCGGAGTACGGCCATCTTGGCTAAATTACAATCTGAATTACTGGGACAGTCCTCGTCTGCCCGACAGCGGGAGACGGGACAAGAAACTGTGTGTATGAGCCCAGACAATACAAATTCCAATCAGGGGGAAATACTAGTTTCAGAGGAAACTACCCCGATATCAGACAATGAAAGCGCTAGTGACAATGTGACCCCCGCAGGGGGCACTGATCATTCTGGTTCCATGAGTGGAGACCATGACAAAAGTGAAGACTTTTTAACTAAAGCGCTGAAGAAAATGGAAGAAAACCAAATGGCGGTGATAAACAAAGTTTTGGATAAAGTGACAGAACTAGAAAGTTATGTCTTCTACGATCAAGATTCTGATCAGTGTATATAGACACTAACACTAACAGTGCCACTGTTAGCTCATTAGAGGGGGAGGCGGGGGAGCCCGTCGCGGGACCGAGCCACGCTCAACAGGCTGCTTACGAGCAGCAGGCAGAAACTGACAGAGTTATCCCTCTTGGTTCAAACATGGCGGCGGCCAGTGAAATGAAATTTGACATTTCTAAGCTGGCAAGTTCCTTCAAAGTGAAGGACAAAGTGGGGCCTCATATTGATTCAGAACTTGCCGAACTGATTGACGGGTTACTTGCCACCAAACTTGAGGAAAAACAGAAAACTGACTTGTTAAGTAAGCATTTTCCTCCAGAAAACTGCCCAAAATTAAAACCGCCTCGTGTAAATACCGAAGTTTGGAGGGTCATGGATTTGCCGAGTAGGAATCGAGACCTGAGATCTAAGAAAACGCAAGATTCAATTTGTACAGGATTGATACCAATCGTCAAAGCTGTGAATAAGTTATGCAATGTGGATACGTTTGACACCTCCTCTCTCATCACTGAAATGGTTGATGGCATAGCCCTCATTGCATCAGCCAACTTTGACCTCAGCTTAAGGAGGCGTGATGATATAAGAGGTGATCTTGCAAGCGAGTTCAAGGAATTGTGCGCTCACAAAAATCCAATCACAGAGCTGTTGTTTGGGGACAATGTGTCCGAACAGATTAAGGAGCTGACTGACACCAACAAGATGGTGTCTAAGATGAAACAATCAAGCAATCAGTTTCATTTCCATCCCTACAACAGATTTGAGGGGAGACCCCCCTTGAGATCCAGAGGAAGTAGGGGCTCCCCACGTTTTAGAGGTCGAGGAAGAGGCCGCGGTCAAGTTTTTTTAGAAAACGAGGGACCTCACTTCAGACGACACTCAGGGACAAGCAGGTTTCCCAGAGCGAAGCGGACAAATCAACATTAGTTGAAGTGAGTGAGTCCCTAGCAGCTAGAGCTACTTGTATTGCAGGCAGATTAGCATTGTATGTTAATGAATGGGAAAACATAACATCTGATCCCTACATTTTAGACACTGTCAGAGGATATCGTATTGAATTCACAGACATACCCATTCAGTCCTCTTTCAGGGAGACTAAGCTTGGGGGCAAACAAGCAGATTTTCTTGATGAGGAAGTGACTAAAATGTTGTATAAGGGTGTAATTGAAGAGACCACCCCCTCAGATCATCAGTACATAAGCACTGTGTTTCTCGTTCCAAAGCCGGATGCTTCCTTTCGAGTTATTCTAAACTTGAAATTACTGAATCAATCTGTTGAAAAATGCCATTTCAAGATGGAACGGTTACTATCAGCTCTCAGACTTATGACCCCAAATTGCTATATGGCGTCCATTGATTTACGAGAAGCCTATTATTCTGTTAACATTGCTGTACAAGATAGGTGTTTTTTGAGATTCATGTGGAAAGGGGCGCTTTATCAATACACCTGTATGCCGTTTGGTTTGACCTCTGCACCTCGAGTTTTTACTAAATTGTTGAAACCTGTGTACAGTTTGCTTAGGAAAAGGGGATTTGTATCAGTTGCTTACATTGATGACTCCTATCTTCAAGGCCAGTCAAAATCAGATTGCCAGACAAATATCAATGTGACTAAGGAAATGTTTGAGAAATTAGGTTTTGTCATAAACAGTGCAAAATCTGTTCTCGTGCCCTGTCAAACAATTGTGTTTTTGGGGTTTGTGCTTAATTCTTCTACAATGACAGTCTCTCTCACGGATAAGAAGGTAGAGAACTTTCGACAGAAATACTCAAAGCTTATGTCAAAACAGACTGTTTCCATACGTGAAGTGGCTGAACTCATTGGTATTATGATCTCCTATGCCATCGCAATTCCATATGGATTACTGTTTACAAAGCAACTTGAAATTGAGAAGAGTCTTGCCCTAAAGTCAGCTAGAGGTGATTTTGATGCAGTCATACAAATCACTGACACATGTAAACAGGACCTTCAATGGTGGTTTGACAATATAGTTGACAACTCAGCTCCTATTTCTAGAGGATTGCCGACACAAGTGTTAACTACTGATGCTTCTTCAAAGGGATGGGGTGCAGTGTTGTATGAAGGAAATGTTAAAACTGGCGGAGCATGGTCAGCAGATGACTTCATTTTGTCAAATCACATTAATTACCTAGAACTAAGAGCAGTGTTTTTTGGGCTGAGGTGTTTTGCATCGGTTTTGAGGAACCACCATGTGCGTGTTAGAATTGATAACTCAACTGCTGTGGCATATATAAATCATCTAGGAGGCACAAAATCCCAAGCTTGTCACAGTATGGCCAAGATTATTTGGTTATTTGCAATTGACAATAACATTTGGCTCTCAGCTGCTCATTTGCCTGGGTGCAAGAATATAGAGGCAGATAAGGAAAGTAGAAACTTTAATGAGGCAACTGAGTGGATGCTCTGCAAGGAACTATTTGATAAAATAACAAAAGTCTTTTTTGTGCCATGCATAGACCTCTTTGCTTCACGGCTAAATGCACAAGTGCCATGTTACATTGCTTGGAGACCAGACCCATTTGCCTTTGTCATTGACGCATTTATGTGGGATTGGTCACTATATCAATTTTATGCTTTCCCTCCCTTCAGTGTGCTGGAACAGGTTATCCAGAAGATACGGGAAGACAAAGCAGAAGGACTAGTGATTCTACCGAACTGGCCAACTCAGAGCTGGTATCCAGTTGCTATGAAAATGTGTGTGTCCAGCCCAAGGGCACTACCCAAAGGAAAGAAAACACTTGTACTGCTGCACAAGCCAGAATTTGTACACCCTCTGTACAAGAAAATGGAACTCCTAGTGTGCCATTTGTCGGGGAGAGCCTCCACTCCATTGGGCTCTCCTCAAGCTCCATTTCCATCATTATGAATTCTTGGCGGACAGGCACTCGCACCCAGTACAGGACTTACCTTTCTCAATGGGAAAAATACTGCAGTGATTCAGATAAAAATCCTCTTGAGCCAGATCCTGTGCTAGTGATAGAATTCCTGACATCGCTGTATGAGAAGGGATGTGGATATAGTGTGATTAATACAGCAAGAAGTGCCCTCTCAAGTGTATTGTGTTTACCAAATGGTGTACCTATAGGTCAGCATGTGCTAGTCAAGAGATTTCTGAGAGGTGTGTTTAACTGCAGACCAGCATTGCCCCGGTACAAACAAACTTGGGATGTAAAGGTAGTTTTAGATTACATTGAAGAGAAGGGTTCTAACACGGAGTTAACCTTGAAAGAGTTATCCTTAAAAATGACAATGTTATTGGCTCTTGTAACAGGTCAAAGGTCACAGACGCTCAGATATCTCAGTATAGATAACATGATTAAGTGTGAGAAGAAAGTGATTTTCAGACTGACGGAACTATTGAAACAATCACGGCCAGGTTTCCATTTACAACCTATTGTTTTACATAGTTTTGAGGTAGAAAATTTATGTGTTGTTAAATGTCTGGAAAAATACTTACAAAAGACTGAGGACCTTCGATCCTCTTCTCAATTGTTGATAAGTTTTGCCAAGCCACACAAACCTGTGACTACAGACACAATATCACGGTGGCTAAAAACTCTAATGAGAGAGGCTGGTGTGGATGTATCAGTGTTTACAGGACATAGCACAAGGTCTGCTTCCACCAGTGCAGCATCCATGGTGGGGGTGCCTATACAGCAGATTATGGACACAGCTGGATGGTCTTCTACATGTGTGTTTGCCAAATTCTATGCCAAACCAGTTTTACCTGTATCATGTTCTTACAGCAATGCTGTTTTATCCTCTGTTTCTGCATGTTAAGTATTCTAGTAAAAGTGTCAGTCATACAAATCACTGACACATGTAAACAGGACCTTCAATGGTGGTTTGACAATATAGTTGACAACTCAGCTCCTATTTCTAGAGGATTGCCGACACAAGTGTTAACTACTGATGCTTCTTCAAAGGGATGGGGTGCAGTGTTGTATGAAGGAAATGTTAAAACTGGCGGAGCATGGTCAGCAGATGACTTCAATTTGTCAAATCACATTAATTACCTAGAACTAAGAGCAGTGTTTTTTGGGCTGAGGTGTTTTGCATCGGTTTTGAGGAACCACCATGTGCGTGTTAGAATTGATAACTCAACTGCTGTGGCATATATAAATCATCTAGGAGGCACAAAATCCCAAGCTTGTCACAGTATGGCCAAGATTATTTGGTTATTTGCAATTGACAATAACATTTGGCTCTCAGCTGCTCATTTGCCTGGGTGCAAGAATATAGAGGCAGATAAGGAAAGTAGAAACTTTAATGAGGCAACTGAGTGGATGCTCTGCAAGGAACTATTTGATAAAATAACAAAAGTCTTTTTTGTGCCATGCATAGACCTCTTTGCTTCACGGCTAAATGCACAAGTGCCATGTTACATTGCTTGGAGACCAGACCCATTTGCCTTTGTCATTGACGCATTTATGTGGGATTGGTCACTATATCAATTTTATGCTTTCACTCCCTTCAGTGTGCTGGAACAGGTTATCCAGAAGATACGGGAAGACAAAGCAGAAGGACTAGTGATTCTACCGAACTGGCCAACTCAGAGCTGGTATCCAGTTGCTATGAAAATGTGTGTGTCCAGCCCAAGGGCACTACCCAAAGGAAAGAAAACACTTGTACTGCTGCACAAGCCAGAATTTGTACACCCTCTGTACAAGAAAAATGGAACTCCTAGTGTGCCATTTGTCGGGGAGAGCCTCCACTCCATTGGGCTCTCCTCAAGCTCCATTTCCATCATTATGAATTCTTGGCGGACAGGCACTGCACCCAGTACAGGACTTACCTTTCAATGGGAAAAATACTGCAGTGATTCAGATAAAAATCCTCTTGAGCCAGATCCTGTGCTAGTGATAGAATTCCTGACATCGCTGTATGAGAAGGGATGTGGATATAGTGTGATTAATACAGCAAGAAGTGCCCTCTCAAGTGTATTGTGTTTACCAAATGGTGTACCTATAGGTCAGCATGTGCTAGTCAAGAGATTTCTGAGAGGTGTGTTTAACTGCAGACCAGCATTGCCCCGGTACAAACAAACTTGGGATGTAAAGGTAGTTTTAGATTACATTGAAGAGAAGGGTTCTAACACGGAGTTAACCTTGAAAGAGTTATCCTTAAAATGACAATGTTATTGGCTCTTGTAACAGGTCAAAGGTCACAGACGCTCAGATATCTCAGTATAGATAACATGATTAAGTGTGAGAAGAAAGTGATTTTCAGACTGACGGAACTATTGAAACAATCACGGCCAGGTTTCCATTTACAACCTATTGTTTTACATAGTTTTGAGGTAGAAAATTTATGTGTTGTTAAATGTCTGGAAAAATACTTACAAAAGACTGAGGGACCTTCTGATCCTCTTCTCAATTGTTGATAAGTTTTGCCAAGCCACACAAACCTGTGACTACAGACACAATATCACGGTGGCTAAAAACTCTAATGAGAGAGCTGGTGTGGATGTATCAGTGTTTACAGGACATAGCACAAGGTCTGCTTCCACCAGTGCAGCATCCATGGTGGGGAGTGCCTACAGCAGATTATGGACACAGCTGGATGGTCTTCTACATGTGTGTTTGCCAAATTCTATGCCAAACCAGTTTTACCTGTATCATGTTCTTACAGCAATGCTGTTTTATCCTCTGTTTCTGCATGTTAAGTATTCTAGTTAAAGTGTTATGCTTGTATTGCGTTCCAGTGAGAGATCTGAAATGGTACCTCATCAGTATTACCGCATCGTAATATTCCAATGTCTCTTAATGATGATGTTTGAAGTAGTATTCATTTATCATTTGTTATAGTTTTTGAAATATTCTATGATGAATAAATATAGTTAGCTTTAACACCTTGTTACATATTTTGTCCAATTTACTGTGGACTAACTACAAAATCTCATGTGGTCTCTCATGTGACCTGGTACTGAAGGAGAATTGTAAATTTAAACGAGACTTACCTGTAAGGTGAAGTTTGAAAGCAATTCTCGAGGTACCAGGGCACAAGTGAGATCACATGCCACCTCCCGCCCAGGGTTCCTTTTTTCGGTGTTCTTTAGTCCACAGTAAATCTTTAAAGACTGACCCGTTTGCGCATGCGCAATCTCATGTGATCTCACTTGTGCCCTGGTACCTCGGAGAATTGCTTTCAAACTTCACCTTACAGGTAAGTCTCGTTTAAATTTACAATTTCACCTCACCTCACCTTTGGAGCTCGTTAGTTTACTTCATATCGATGAGGCAGAACAAAAACGGCGAAATTAAACGGGGAAGATCCTGAGATTTAAAGACATCTTACCTCTGTTGCTAAGAGAGTGTCCGGCTGTTCTTTAGCTATATCCTCCTCGGGAATAAATTCATAGAAGTTGGCTTGCGGGATGATCGTGTATTCAATCACGCCTGGCTCGCTGTCACGTGAGTTGACACAAACTCCGTACAGTGCCTCTGAGGCGATGTGGTATGGTGAGTAGATGGGAGTATCGCCAATGTACTGCCGCAACAGTTTGGCCTGAAATGACGCATAACACATGGCTTTGGCTCAACTGGGGAAGTCATGTTAGGGGAAAGAGGCGAAGTCAGAGCGAAGGGGAAGGTTAGCCTGTTTATTTGGACTCCACTACTACTACTACTCTTACTACTACTCCTACTACTACTACTACTACCACTACTACTACTACCACCATCACTACCATTACCACCACTACTACTACTCCTCCTACTACTCCTCCTACTACTACTACTCCTCCTACTACTATTACTACTCCTCCTCCTACTACTACTACTACTCCTACTACTACTACTACCACCATCACTACCAATACCACCACTACTACTGCTACTACTACTACTACCACCACCGGCACTACCACCACCGCCGCCACCACCACCACTACATACAACCACTACTACTACTACTACTACTACTACTACTACACCAAGACCACTACTACCACTACCACCTCCACCACCACCACCACCACCACCACCACTTCTTCTTCTACCACCACCACCACTATTACTACTACTACCACCACTACTACTACAACTGCTACTACTATTACTACTACCGCGAGTGTTGCTACTACTACCAGTGCTTCTACAACTGCTATTACTCCAACTACTGATACTACTACAGCTTCGACTGCCGCTACTGCTACTACTACAACATCTACTGTTACTGTTGCTACTACCACAATTACTACTTCCACTACTACTACACGTGCTTCTACCGTCCCAAACACACACAAACCAACCTGGATATGGGACTAGTCCCATAGCAGGCACAGAATTCATGCAATGCTATACAGAAAAGTCCACCTTTTGAGGTTGTCGCGACATATCAAGAGGAAATAACAAGCTATTGACGTAGGACTGGCACAGTGCCATCCAAGAGTATGCACACCTGGCAGAACTGAACGAGCGAGTATGGTTTTACGCCGCTTTCAGCAATATTCCAGCAATATCATAGCAGGGGACACCAAAAATGGCCTTCACGCATTGTACCCATGTGGGGAATCGAACCCGTGATTTCGGCGTGACGAGCGACCGCTTTAACCACTAGGCTAGTCCACCACCTCAAAAGACTCGAAACCGCAAGTGAACATTCTCAATATACTTTTTCTAAATAACTAGACGCAGTTGTCACTGACAATTAAAACATTGGCCTCGACGATTTTCAGTTTCTCTCCCGATTCCCACCTCTCTTCTGTCAGTGATCTTTCTCAGAATCTCTTGCATATTCTGTTCATCTCATTTTATAATCTCTGATCTACCGATTGCTGAACGCATCCAACCAAACAAAATATGAAACCATTTCCTCGGTATCAACGATAAGGTAAGCAGCGTTATTTCTGTCACTCGCAATGCACACTATTTTTGCATGACGTTTGCTAATCTGGTACACTGAAGCTTAGTCCCTGATGCCGCCATATTGATGAGTGTGGCGTCAAACAAACAAACAAAACAAACAAACAAACAAACAAATCGATCACTGGAGTTTCTAAAAGCCAGGAAAAGAGTAAGTCTAGTAGTCAAAATCTTGAAACCAAAAACAGGACCAATATAACTACCTGAAAAAGAGAACGCTATTTATTATATTAAGTGTGAAATACTGTAAATATTGGTGAAAATAAAAATGGTATTTTCACTGAGTAGAATAACATGTTATTTCACTGAGTAAAATAACACTTTTGCCTGGAACTACTTTCTGCTCAATGGCTAGAATGTAGTTGGGTTGCGTAATAAAATGCAGACCTCCTCGATGTTTCGATCATTTATAAATAATTATCAAAATATAATAAATAGAATATTTTGTTAATGTTGTCAAATAACATGTATATTTCATCGCGTGGTCTGACAACGTTGATATGTTCACTCGTGGCTGCATCAACTTTGTCGGACCTCGTGATGAATATACATGTTTTTTGACAACATTAACAAAATATCCTCTATGTATTTGTGTTTAACGCTGTCACACTTACATACACTAAAATCTTACTGGTTGCTGTCATATAAATGTTATCTTTCCTACTGGTGCTTAAACATTTGTCACATACAATCGCCGCCTTAATCACCAAGAGTCTTATTGTCCTAGACTAACAACTAGTCTCACAAATGAACATATTTTATAGAAAATAAAAGTTCATAAAAAAGGAAAAATAAATAAATATAATGAAAAGGAGCTGAAATTTTGCCACATATTCCAGACTTGCATGGGTTTTCTTGGATAGATCAAATTTTGTTTCAGGGTGTGTATGAGAGTCTATCATTGTCCCTGATGCATTATTTTACTTCTGCTTAGCATTTTCTGCAACGTTAAATCCTCAGGTTCTGAAGGTTCCTTCTTGCTGGGACTCCTTTTCAAATTTAAAAGAATTAAACAAACAACAACGTAAACAAGCCGATCACTGGAGGAACGGAGAAAAACAGCAATAATCAAATCTCTCACTCGACAGTAATAATCAAATCCCTCACTCGACAGTAATAATCAAATCTCTCACTCGACAGTAAAAATCAAATCCCTCACTCGACAGTAATAATCAAATCTCTCACTCGACAGTAATAATCAAATCTCTCACTCGACAGTAATAATCAAATCTCTCACTCGACCAATTATACTCACTGAGTTTTCATAGGTTCCCGTGGCCGATCCTTTGATAACGGAACAACCTGGCCAAAGTTTCTGCACAACATTCTCACATCCGTTCCTCATGACTTTCCTTACTTCAGCAGCCCTGGCTGGATCTGGTCTAATGTGACCTTGAAGCTGCTGGCGAAGTTCATCTGGGACTCCCAGCTTCGCGAGCAGAGTCCCACGCTCAATGTCATCACACAACACGCTCCATCTGTCCTCCACAAGACGGAAGAACTTCAAAGCAGCGGCAGCTGTCAAGAAGGAAACGATTTTCAGGTCGGGTTCCAGAAGACCAAAGTAAGCATGGGCGTAGAGCGCATCTTTCTCTGCGCTTATCTTAAACACGGGGGAAGGAGAAGCTGTGAACGGCCAGGGTGGGTAGCTGCTTGACGAAGCGGGTCCCCGGAAAACCCCTGGTTTGACTTCCTTGGTTGGCTTGATGAGTCGGACATCATGAAGCTTTTTCAAAGAAAACATACCCGGATATGAATACATTTCAGCATTCCCACATAATATTGTCATTATCAATGTATTGGTGTAGCTGGCACTATTCCTGGGAAATATTTTGCATCTTCCAGAAGATGTCCCAGACGTGACGCACAAGTAGTTCACGGGCTCTGGGAACAGCACATTGTCCTTATCGTCCAAGATCATTTGAACATATTTCTTATAATATTTTGAATCAGTCAATTTGTGTTGTGAACGAAACTCGCTCATCGTCCTAATCATGTGAAAGTTGTGGTCTGTTCCGTACAAGGTGTCCGATGACGTTTTGAGGATCTCCATTAATGTAAGGTCTTGATACGTTGTTGTGTTTGTTAGTGTGTCGTGGAAGCGTCGTTTGACTGAATCATACTTCTTCCTTAGACTCCTATTGTACAGAAGCTGACTGCAAAGTGACTTGAGTGTGTGACTTCTGGCAGGCGAGAGACTTGCTATATGAAGGAGGACCCCCGCCAATACCACCATCGCCAATGACAGAATGAATTCTGAAAAGGAATCGAAGGATAACATGGTTAAGCGTCATACCGTTTTATCCCCGAAGAGACAGGGTGCAATTCAGGTATAGGTAAAAAATCCCCAGGAATTAGTCCCTTGAATAGGAATACACAATCCTATCTGATGACTGACTGAGTATGGTTTTACGCCGCTTTTAGCAATGTTCCAGTAATATCACGGCGGGGAAACCAGACATGGGCTTCACACCAATCCAATCTAGAAAGTGGTCAAATGTAACATAATGTGATGTTTGGGATTACACATTTTCAGTTAAATACAGATTCTACTACTTTTGTTGGACCCCAACCGGGTTCGAACAAACATTATCAGGTTCAGTTCCCTAATCGCCAGCAAAAACGTCAGCCATCTAACCCACTCAGACAGGTGTAGTCCGTGGTCCAGACTACCCGTTGTGCGCTGGCTGAGTGAGTTATACGGCTGACTTTGTGTTAATACTCCCTTGCCGTCATCATCGCCACCCACCTCCGATTACATTCTAATCGAATGTATAAATATTCTCTTTCTTAAATCTACCTTTCAGTTGTTGGCAGTCTATAGCCTGGTTTTTATATGTTGTATTGTCTTTCATAGTTAAGATGTTTTAGATTTTCATACTAGTTTTATAATTATAACTGTGTTATTTTACTGTCCTTTGCAGACAGGTAAGTATATTCTCTACATTTATTTTTATTCATTTATATATTTACAACTTTCTTAGTCACGATATGGCTGAAATACTGCCGATGTAACTATAAATTTTAACTCACTCACTCTTTCTTAAATTCAGATGCAGTAATTTTAAAATTTCAGACACACAAATATTATTTCTGAAAACAGATATTGTTGTTGGAAGAACGGTGATAAAGGCCCCTGTTGAGGACGAATTCCATGTACCCTCTATCTCCCGAACCTATGCAGTATTCGTTACATTGATGTCAACAAACCATCAGATTATTGAAATTCAGTTCGAAAGTTGTTTTCTAAAGGGTATTATTTTTTATTATAAGATATTTATATAGCGCACATATCCACGCACTAGTGCATGCTCAAGGCGCTGGCATTTTTTCCCTCGATCATTGGATGTCAGTCTCAAGGGCCCATCATATTATCAATCTCAACTCCCTGGGGAGTATACAAGTCTTGCATCCACTAGACGCACCGAGTTATTGTGGCTTTTTCATCCTAACGAGGTACCCATTCACTGCTGGGTGGACTGGGACACATAGTCACAGTACTTTGTCCAAGTTTACTGCACATTGCTGTACCCGCAACTAGGTGTTTGCACATATTCCTGTGGTCACCATCTGGTCATATACCAACGGATTCGTGGGTTCTTTTAAGTGCACAGGGTTGTGTACTGTACACTAGGGGTTGTGACAACACTGAAAGAGTCTGCACACAAAGTTGACTTCAAGGTTTTTACACCCGGTCACAGGTGGGCTCGATCCCGACACCTCAACCTCGCTGGATAACGAGCCTGGCGTCTTAGCCAGCTCGCCCACCGCGCCCCAGTAGTAGTATAAGAGAAGATCTTGTGATGGCACAATCAGTATGTTTTGAATACGTTTATGTGGATGATTGGTTTTATTTACCTAAACATTACTGGCAATTTTCGCACAAAAAGCCACGCCCTAAATATGTTTGTACAAGCACGGCGTTCTTTTTCACTAACAGGCGAGACAATGTATTTATGATTTATAATCTGATGCAAATTTTGAAAGATAGGAAACAAAAACTCTATTGTGCCTTTATAGATTTTCCAAAAGCTTTAGATGCTGTTTGGCGAGTGGGATTGTGGGAAAAAATGCAAACGATTGGTATAGAGGGTAAATTCCTGAATCTTGTTAAATCAATGTATAGCAATATCAAATCACTTGTACAATGTAATAATGATGTATCAAACTACTTCTCATCTAACAACGGCGTCAGACAAGGGGAAAATCTGTCACCTTTACTATTCTCCATTTTCATAAATGGTATTGAAACTCATTTACTTACCTCAGGCTGTAATGGTGTAAATCTAAACTATATTGAAGACGAAGATTTGGTGATATTTGTAAAGTTGTTAATTTTATTATATGCAGATGATACGATATTATTTGATGAATCGTCATATTGACTACAACATGCTTTGAACTCATTTAAGGACTATTGTGATTCATGGAAGCTAAAAGTGAATATAAACAAAACTAAAATAGTAATATTCGGGGGAGGACCATCAAAAAGCACAAAAAATAAATTTCATTTGGATGGGAAATTACTTGAAATAGTTGATAGTTATACCTACCTCGGTATAACGCTTCATAGAAATAGAAAACTCGTATCAAGTATTAAAACTGTAAGCAATAGTGCCTCAAAAGCAATGTATAGTTTAGTGAAAAAAGCTAGAAAACTAGACTTGCCTTTAGACTGTTTATTGTTAGCATTTGACTTAATGGTAGTACCTATCTTGACCTATGGTGCAGAAGTCTGGTCATTCGAAAACCTTGAAATTTTGGAGAAAATATCTAAAAAAAATCTTAAGACTAATTACAGGATTAAGAAATTCAACCCCTCGTTTTATGCTGTATGGGGAACTAGGACGATTCCCTATTAGAATTATGATATATAAACGTTTATTAAACTTTTGGCACAAGTTAACTTACCAAGAAGGTGTTTTTAAACTTACGAACTTAATTTACAAGTATTTATCACTTCAAAGAACAATAAATAAACAAGATAATCCCTGGCTCACGCACGTTAAAAATATATTAGACAATACTGGACTCTCGTATGTTTTTGAAAATCCCTCAATTTGTACTACCCAGTGGCTGGTCTCAAAAGTTGAACATATTCTTAAAGATCAATTTATCCAAAACTGGCACAATGACATTATTTCTAGTCCCAAGGGAATAAACTATCAGCACCTAAAGCCATTTCCCAATTTTGATGTATACCTCCTATTCCCGTGTAAGCCCGATAGGTTGCAAAACTCTATATATTTAGATAGTACTGCGGGCTATGTTTGAGAGGCATTCTAGAAGTTGGTGGTATAGGGGGTATCTTCCCATGGCTGGGGATGACCCTTGCACATTTTATATGTTTATCATTATTCACCTAATAAATATGTTTTTAAACATGGGTTGGTTCACAAAACAAAAAACACAATAACAATAACCATTTATTACACTACAGCTATATTAAATTCCAAATCACTATTACTCTTTACCTATTTCATATTTTTTATCTTTTTAATTCGGCCTCCCATTCAAATTTCCTTTAATGTTTTGTTTTGTTTATTTTGGGGCTTATTGTTGCTTTATTGGGTAGTTACACCACTCTTTCAAAATTTCTATCCCCCCCCCCCTTTTTTTTTCTTTATAAGTGTACTACCCCGTCGCCGAAACACCTTAGTAGTGCACCAACCTTACACATTAACCATGGCTGGAATACAAAGAGTAGAGTATGTCACATCTACAACAAGTATACAACACGACAGACATTTCGATATATTATTAAGACCTGCAATTTGTAACATTAAAGCACCAAAAACCTAGACGTACTATTAAATGGCAGTGCAGATCTTCCGTATAGTGACAATATTCACATTTTTAAAGAAGTTCAAAAATATATATCAAATTCCAAAAGGTTCAGTGATTGGATATAATGTGTATGATCTAAATAATTCATGTATTCATTGTATTGTATATATCATTTTGTATATATCTTTCTATCCCTTTACATAAAGTTTGTTTCACTTTTGCATGTAAGCACTGTAAATAGGAGAGGGTTTCACTAAGTTGGCATAACTTGTACCCAATCCATTCTCTTGAATAAATATGTTTAAATCAAAACCTGCAAGAGCAAATGCACAACAGTTGGAGATCTTGTCAGGAATGTTTCTGACAACTGTCATCCACCAGAAAATGTCACTAGGGCTACGTGTATCGGCAGTCTTAGGATGGGAGCTAGAGAAGAGACAACCCACATGCATTACCTCTACAACCAGGTGATCGCTGAACAAGATGCAGCAGAAGTCCCATTTGATTAAACTTGGTTGAGACTCTTGTTATGTGAAATCTATGTGCTGAGTTGAATCAGTGGTTTAAAGATAAATGATAAAAGACATCGAAGAATGATGAACTTCATGTACATGGATTTGCAAACAAATGCACATCAAATGCAATAAAATGATATTTAGTGCTAATCAATTGTGTAGCGTTCTCTTTCTATGTCTGTAACGAGTATGGACTATCCCATTCTTCACTAATAGGTAATAGATGTGTGCAGTGGTCTGTGACCTTATGTGTATTGGGGTGTGTAACAACTGGCATGTGTAACAAATGGGAGGATACCTTCCCATACTACAGACCTCCCAAAAGACAGACCGCTTAAAACAACACAATTTATGGATGGTTGCATATGGCTTAATAAAGATGTACCCTTGATAATAATGGTATGTGCACTGATAAAAAAGACAACATTAGGTATTAACTATA